CGAATTTGAATGCCTCAGTAAGGTATAGGTCAGATGGAAAGCCGATACGGCCAAGAGTGTGAGAGGACGTGAAAGAATCGCCTCATTCACAATGCTGCGCCCTCCGCGTCCACTCATTGGTTCGTGCTTACTCATCCCATCGATCACTAACGACCAATGAGTCGAAGGAGTTCGCACCAATGAGATTCGAGCACGCGACATATAAGGGTCGTTACCGATCCACACCTCGCCTTTCAAAGCTCTTCTAACCATGCACAAGAGTAAGCTGTATATTTTGCTTTTGCCTAATCATCACCCATGCTAATCCCGTGACACTCAGGAGTAGATTCGTCTACTTACCTGTACCTTATTAAGTTAGGCATTTGCCTGCACCAACATTACAGCTTCTTCTTCTCCCCTTAGACTTCTTTATCGCAAGCCTGCTGGCGCCGTCACCTACAACACAAGAATCGCCAGAGCCATCCACTTCAAACGCTAACAACCAAGTTGCGCATACCCGTACAACGAGACCAGTCAACACCTCTCACAGGCCCTCTATGCTCCCATCGCTCTCGTCTGCTGCAGCAGCAGCAGCAGCAGCAACAACAGTGATACCACCCAGCACATCTTCAGCAAACCATTCCAGCACCACGCCAACAGCGCATCTTCTGAGTAGTGACGGTGTACAGACTCATCCCATTGATCTGTCCACACACTCGTCCTCCCAGTCTGTGATCGCAACGCCTACTTCTTCCATCAATCCAGTCACACCACCTACGCAGCTTCATGCTTCACTAGTTAGTTGTGCTGAATGTATTATACTATACTCCGCGTTCCTTTCCTGGTGTGGCTGCTTACCCACAGCCACTCTGCCCAACCCGCTCAATGCAAGCACAAGCATTGGTGTCGTTAATCCTACCAATGCTGCTGTTCATCCTCCTACTGGCACGGTGACAGAAAACACTGCCAATGGTGGCTCAAATGCCAACAACGAGAATAGGAATGGAGTTGGCCCTTGCACAAGATCAGATGAGGTAGGTGATGGCGAGGCAGAGGTGAGGGAAGAAGGAGGAGACGAATGGAGATGTGAGAAGTGTGGCAAGACATACAACAGCTCCACTTCTCTGCGAAAGCATAAGCAAAGTCACTTGCTACGGTGGAAATGTCACTTCTGTGAGAAGACGTTCTCACGCAACTGGCTGCTTGAGGGTCACGAGCGCACGCACACAGGCGAAAAGCCCTTCGTCTGCCCCACTTGCCAACGTGCCTTCGCAGATCGCTCGAACATGCGAGCGCACATGCAGACACACCTGACGGTGAAGCGCCATCGCTGCCCTCACTGTGCCCAATCATTCACCCGCCGTAGTCAACTCATCCGGCACATGCAAACGTGTCTATTTTCC